GTATAAGTGAATCGCCTCAAGTTGAACTCTATCTCTAACACATTCCAAATCTAGTGATAATGCACATTAATATGCTTAAAATCATAAATGAAAGGATGAGTTCTTGCTAAGATGGATGAAACTATGAACAAAACAAAAATACAAGCATCACTTTCTTAAAACTTTGCCCTATAGCAATCTCTTTCATTGATAACCACTCTTTACTAGATTTTTCTATAGTAACAATATAACTGATCTTTGTGGTTTATAATGCAATATAATATTAAATCTTATATGGCCATGACATAATTCTCTTAAGAACGGTGAAAAAAACACTCTGAAGTAAACTTACGTGAATCATCCTCAATCAATCTATAACTATGTAGCACTATAACACCAGATCATCACTTTTGAATCACAGGCATAGGTTGGGAATGCCTTCATAGTACTTGAATATCCACTTCACAACAGCCCAATCATCTTTTCCTTGTTTTGAGATTAACTAATGACAAAATATGTTACACTACTACTTTTTATATATGTAAGGAATATTTTACAAAAATCTGGGACTCATCTCAGAGCTTTACTTGAATTCATGCAAGTGGAAAAGATACTTCATTTGTTTTGCTTATATTAAATCTTTGAAGAATTGTGTTAGTATAAATTGCTCGAGTTAACCAAAGCTTTCCCCTCTTTCAATACAAATGCCACAGATAAATGCAAATTAACATATCATCATTTATAAATAGTAGCATGCTCAACAATTAACATATCATCAATATAGAGTAAAAAAGGATAATAAAAAAATCAAGAAATCTTTTCATAAGTACACAATGATTCAAAGTGATCTTTTTGTACTCATGATCAATCAAGAAGGATTCAAACTTCTTGTGTAATTATGTTTGATCTTGTTTAAAGCCATGCAAGTTTTTTCACAACTTACATACAAGAAGCATTTGCTTTTATCTTAAATTTCTTCATACAAGTTACAATGTAGAAAGGTTACTTTAACTTCAAGCTGTTCAATCTCCTGATTCAAGCTAGCTACCATAATGAGCACCAATCAAATTGAAGATATCTTCACTACAGATGAAAAAAATCTCGTCAAAGCCAATTCCTTGCTTTTAGTTAAATACCTTCACAACCAACCTTATCTTGTATATTGGTTGCAAGCTATTCTTATCATATTTCACTTTAAAAAAAACACTTGTTCTTTAATGATTGTTACCCGTAACTTCTTTGAGTTCCAAGCATAGCTCTCATGCAGAAAAATATATATATCTTTTCTTGCATGGGCCTCAACCACTGACCCTCATGCTCAATGATATTAACACATTATAGATTTTTAGGCTCATCACCATCTATCAACATCACATATTCATTTCAAGAGTATAAAATGAAAGATTGTCTTTGCCAAGCTGATCATCTCAAATTCACTTAGTGGTCTGAAAAGAGTTTCTTCAGAACATTTTATAGGTATTAGGTTACAACTTCACATCATTTTTATGCACATTAACACCTTATTATGTTATTTCCCCCTTATTTGCATCATATACCATGAATGGAGAGCTTGGTGTTAGGGCCAGCACGAGTTTCAAATAAAAATTTTAACTTTTCTTTCTCAACTTTTATAAGCTTCATCTTCAAAGAAAATCATATTTCTATTTTTAATCACCTTTTTATATACAATGTTTCATATTATATTGCCAAACTAATCATGATCATAGCCCAAAAAGATGCATTGGTTTGTCTTCCCATCATTCTTTGATCTATCTTTAAAACTGTAAACAAATTCCTTGCCCCCGAAAAACCTAAGGCAGTTGTACAGCAACTCTTTCCACTTCTAAATTATTTCCAGCTTATCAAAAACATGAGGGCTCAAAGGTGAAAGATTAATCAAGTTTTATGCAATCATCATTTCCTTTCCCCAAAAACATTTAATCGATTTAACATGAGAGAGCAAGCATTGAATCCCCTCCTAAATAGTTTGTTCATCCTTTGAGCTATAATGAATACAATGGAGAAAAATAATTCATGTAACCGACCCCACATAGTGGGATAATGGCTTATTGTTGTTGTTGTTGTTGTATCCTTTGAGCTATAGTGAGATTTCTTGGAGTAACTTCGAGGTTTTCTCACCAAATTAGGAACATATACATGGCTTCAAGGTGTCTAGATGTGACACGTATAATTTCATCAGGCTTACGAAATAGAGTCATCATTTATAAAGTTGGTGTTTCTATATAGTTATATCAATTAGACCACATAACTTTAGATTGGGAAGCATGTGAACAAAATTATGATTTCACTTTCTACATAGTTCATATTGCATAACTAGGGGTAGGCTCATTTGCACCATAATATGATCATAAAGGCATCTCCTAAGAGCCTTGAGGCCATAGGGGTAAGCTCACACCTCTTATTATGAATTGATTAAGTTGATATATTTTGTTGTTAGAGAACAGAGATATAAAGAAACCCATCTCCAAATCTTAAATCAAAGATCTAGGCCTCTGAGGTTTTGGGATATGTTATAAGGAACTAATGGAGTGAGCACTATCCACTCATGATCCTAGATCCTAAATCTAAATGATGAAGGTAGGGGAGTGAGACTAACCTCCCTTAGGCTTAATGATTATTTATCTAAGGAAAACAAATATGTTTGAAAGGTCGTAATAATAAACTTAATTCACCTAGAGTTAACTATGCCATTGTAAGATCTTAAAGTCCAATGATGTAGAGAATTCACCTAAAGGTGGAATGTTGTATCATAGTACGTCAAATGTACCAAAGCTATGAAACCGCTAGACAATCTAAAGCCAATTAAGACTACTTAACGCAAGCCAATAATAATTCTAAGATCATATAGAATAAATTAGGGTATACTGCTAAACAATCTAAGCTCAACAAGAATAAACAAGAGTTAAGGGTATGAAAAGTCCACTATATTGCCTAGGGTCAACTGAGGAAGTTTAGGGCTAGTCAATAGTCCACTTAAGATCAACAAAAGGAGGGAAGAAACTAGCATATAAGGCCATTAGATAGCTTAGGAGTATCTAAGGCTATCTAAGACAAAACACTAGCCACTCTATAGATTTGGATAGATTATTAATCACCTAAGCCTACCTAGGTTTAGTAATAATAATCTCGGTTATGGTCACTACCTAGGATACACTAGAAAAGATTGGAATCAAGAATGGAAGAGCTATTAGGCAATAATATAGGATCATTTAAGGTCCCTTAGGGCAAGCCGTTAGTCAGTATTGGCTTAATTGAAATCAACTAGGGAAAATTATTAAATCACCTAGGCCTAACAACGACCGCTTAAAGACAACATTATATGGGGTATGATAGGAAACCTAAGATCTCCTACATTGACAAGAAGCAATCCATTAGTCTACCATTGATTAGCTATAACTTATTAGGATAGACCACCAAATCAACTAAAGATTAAATAGGATAGGACAAAAGGCATGGCCATGACATATTTTAAGGTTTAATCAAAGCATTTTTATACCTTTGCGGATTTTATGACTTTTATTATTAGGATAATTAAAGTGGTAATCATTAAAACATCTTGACGACTTAAACTCCACACAAATGGTGGATCAACTTTATATTTTAAAATTATCATGTTAATGATCTTTAATCTTTTTATATTTTATTACCATTTTTATGATTTCTGCACTATTTTAGAAAGCCTCCAAAACCCCTCTAAGTAGTTAGAACTCATATCTACATGTGTGGAAAGTGGTATGACACAATCAACAAATGTCAACCTGATAGTGGGCAATGATGGTCAATGGGTCTCCTGACCACATATCAACAATCAATCTAAACTCTCTAATTGAAGATATAAATGCTTGGAATGTGTGTGTGGTGAAGGGAACCATCGAAATGGATTGAGCAGTCTCACATGCATCACATGATAAGGGCCACACATACACAAGTAATCATATCGAAACTCTTATCTCAACAAGCACTATGCATGGGTATGAAGGTGAAAGTACGTGTCATGCATTGAGTGCTTTGATGGTCAAACACAAGAAGGCAGGCTAGACTGCGCAAAGTAAACCTCTATTTATGACCGACTAGCCCGAGTTGATAAAAAAATTTATTTGAGATAAAGAGCGATGGTGGTATTCTTTGTATCATGGCCAAGGCTACGAAAAATTCATCATAATAAGGTCGAAAAGTATGTAACACTTTAAAACAATAATCATAGGATAACAATCACCGCTAGCGAGCTATAAGTCATTAACATCCTTCAAAGAGTCATTACTACAAATGACAAAATTGCTAGATATGCAATCAAGTAATGCAAAAATTAATGCAATCATACCACCATGCAATGCAACATGCATATGATAGACTAGTTGATAAAAAAAAAAGTGTTTAAGGCCAGAAAAACTTTATTGAAATAACCTATCATGCAAGTCAAGGTTTTCAAATGAGCTCTAGGCAAGTGAGGACTGAATCATGAAGTGTCTCATAAATGTCCTCAAATGATTTCGTCAAATTAAGCCACTCAATCCAATCTCCCTAATGTAAATAAGAGAAGCATGTCATAGGAAAGATAGGTCTTAATGCGGTAATGTCCTCAATTCACATAAGTAAATTCATGGACAAATTTATAAACTTCAGCATATATGGAATTCGGCAGTATAAGATTTAGCACATCGAATTATAACATAAAGATTTCAACAAACATTGAACTCTAGCATATATATTTTAGCATAAGAAAAATTCTCAGCATACATAGATCTACTTGAATAAATTTTAACATAGAAAGATTTCAAAGAGGCCATGGAACGCAAGCTACAAAAACCTTTTTATGGATTAAATAATCTTACCAAAGATTCATTGAACTGGCCAAGATTGAAATTGTATCAAACTTTATAAACACTAATCATATAAACAATGAGATGACAAACAAAAATGTCGAAAGATCTGGTAAGTTTGTACCGTAGACAGAGATCAGAAAACGCTATCCAAACAAATGAAGCAGGAGACGAAGATACCATTGCAGCTAGCCGCGGCGGAGAAGGAGATGAGGCTGCCTGTTTGCTGCGGCAGCGCTCAGAAGAAGGGCTTGATAGTTCAGAAGAGTTGCGGCGGCATGCGAGGGAGGGCGTACGACTGCTGAGACGACCAGTAGAGGGGTTATTGTGTGCGAGGCACGGGTGGCTAGACGGTGACGATAGAGCTGAGTTGCTAACGGCTCGTCGTTTCGCCGGGAGGAGAGAGGCTGGGAGTCGCTGGCGTTAAGGGAGGAAGTGATTGTGAGATGTGAGAACCTTCTGTCGGTTTTGTGGCTGGGGGAGAATTATTAGGTCCCAACACCGGAAGTAAGATAAGTTCAGACTTCAATAAAATATTTACATTGTAATATATATCTGTGAAATTTTTAATCAAGTATGTCAAAAGCGCAAGTAATATGCAGTCAAAGCATAATAAAAGCACAGTCCACATGATAAATTTTAGGGAAAAGTTGCTAACGGCTCGTCGTTGCGCCGGGAGGAGAGAGGCTGGGAGTCGCCGGCGTTAAGGGAGGAAGTGATTGTGAGATGTGAGAACCTTCTGTCGGTTTTGTGGCTGGGGGAGAATTATGAGAGTTGTGTATGCGTTGTAATATAAGTTCAGACTTCAATAAAATATTTACATTGTAATATATATCTGTGAAATTTTTAATCAAGTAAGTCAAAAGCGTAAGTAAAATGCAATCAAAGCATAATAAAAGCACAATCCACATGATAAATTTTAAGTGAATATCCAGACTTATTTTTGAACAATTATTAGGTCCTCCGACCGGACGTAGAGCTACGTCCGGTCGGAGCTAAAATCTCGCCAAAAACGAGAAATACCAAGCATATCAAACAATAACAAGGAATATCATCATGTGAAGACCCAATACCGAGTTATACCAAACAATATCGAGTTAACTATGGATGGTATTTATGTAATATTAAAGTTTTAGGTGTTAAATATGTAAATAGAACAGTATTAAGTGGTATGTATGTAAAACTCCGAATATCCAGACTTATTTTTGAACAATTATTAGGTCCTCCGACCGGACGTAGAGCTACGTCTGGTCGGAGCTAAAATCTCGTCAAAAACGAGAAATACCGAGCAATATCAAACAATAACGAGGAATACCATCATGTGAAGACCCAATACCGAGTTATACCAAACAATATCGAGTTAGACAAAAAAAAATACCGAATTTGTTCTAGAAAAAACTCGGTATTTTTTTGTCTAACTCGGTGTTGGTCTTCAGAGATCGGTATTTCTCGTTATTACCAAATAATACCTAACAATACCAAGCAAATACCGATCCTTGTTATTACCAAATAATACCTAGCAATACCAAGCAAATACCGAGTTTTTTGGCTGGATTTTAGTGCCGGAACTTCCGGTCGGAGGACCTAATAATTGTTCCTTATTTTTAGGTCCGGTGTCCAGACCTAAAAATTTCGTGTGGCTTGGGGCTGTTGGAGGCGGCGACATGCAGTGGCTGCTAGAGAACATGGAAGGCCGGTCGTAGGGTTGGGGATAGCACGTAGGCTTTCTTTGGACAGCTTTATTACTAATTTTAGTTTTTAGTAATATAATTTTAAATTTAAAAAATATATATATATATACTAAAAATTTATTTTCAAAAGAAATAAAAAAATTATCCTGAATAAAATCTAAGACAGAGATGTGCCGTGACTCCTTGCGAAAATAAGGTAAGTGACTGTGGTGGGGCAAGCAACTTAAAATGAGTAAGGTCACTTTTCTTGTAGGGTACATTTTAGGGTTGATTTCAATCATGGCAGCTCTAATTTGACTCTTTCATTCAACAATATTTTCAAAATAGAGCTGGTGCTTGACCATGGCCTATCCTAAAATTTATCAAATTTTGGCAACAAAGAAATACGGAAGTCGTTATAGGAGGTCACTAGATGAGCAATCGACAGAGAAAATCACGACTAGAACTCGCCATGAAATGTGCACTGTCAAGGAAGTCATGCCAGGAGCTCATCTGAGAAAGCATCAATGAGATCAATCATGAGGAAGTCACAACAAGCAATAAGTTAAAAATAAGATCGAAACCGCGAGTTCGATTGATTCAACCATGAAACAACTCTAAGGTTGATATTGTCAAGTAGCATAATTATTTTTGCATTAAATTGGTGAGAACCTGAGAGAATCAACCATCAAAGTGTAAACCAGCAAACACCGCTCTTGATTCTGTTGAACAATATATTTCAACTTTGGATCATGTAATCAAACTTTAATCTAATAGTAAAATTCAATAAGCTTAATAATTCAATAGTTCTATACCAAAATAGTCTAATCTATTATTTTTCTCTTGTTGATGAAATAATAAGACTTGAAGGGCTACGAAATATGACTATTTGACATTGTCCTAATCTAACCTCACTTAGAATACTCCAAGAATGGAGATCATAAAAATGTTCAAGTTCACTTCACATTTGTAATGTTATTATGAATGTGCTTTGTTTTTCATAATAAATTACTTTAAACAAGTCCTTCATCATCCAATTAATTTAATGATTGGAAAGTTCATTTAACTATTTTATTTTGGGTAGCGATGATTATAGCATTCTTAATATCCTCCCTTGGATTAGGAGAGCCTAGATATTCTCTTACATGCCAAACCCTGAAGAGAATAATATAGTGTCCTTAATCGAGAGTATTCTTAGGTCAAGACTTAAGATGTAATTAACCATGGGGGCGTGCGCCCGTGGGAAACTAACACCCACATCAAATAAACCACATTCGAACAGATGTATCGGATGGAGAAAATCTCGCGATTATTATGTCATATATATTATTACCCCTCTAGGTGTATAGGTGAAAGCCAATGTCCTGCATGTTTAATAGTATGTATGATCTCATGTGCTCTCTCATTGGCCTACTTGCGTATAATGTAAAGGCCTACGACTGTTTTGTCCTATAGGATAGTGTGATCGTACTATTTTGCATTATGATCCTCGCTTGCATCACCCTTTTGGAGACCCACAATGATGACCAACAACGGATCAAGTGGTACAGGTGGACAATGGTTGGATGTGATGATATCAACGATAGCTGCCTGGCTGGTGATCGAAATTAGTGATGGCCAATGGCGGATAGTGGCTACATTGATTTTTTTAAAAGAAGAAACATCTAATAACCCATTAACACTGTATTCCTTATTTTTAAAAATAGAATCTTTTGATTTCAAAAATAAAAACACTAAAATAAAAATAAAAATTAAATAAAAAATGCTTTCAAACATGCCCTTTGGATTTATTGGCTATTATTTAGTGGTCTAAGAAGCAACTTCTATATTAATTTAGTAGAGCTTCTATATTATACAACTAAAAGCCTAAAGTAGAGTTAAATTTTCCTTATTACATAAAAAAATTTCCGCTAAGATATATTGATGCGAATCATATCAAGATGAATTTGGATGTCATTAAATTTGTGCTGAGATGAATGTAAAATATGATATCAAATGAATACATTAACCTCAACATATATTCAATGACATCTAAACCTTTTTTGGCAGGATTATTGTATGGCAACCTGACGACATACTCAAGGTTGTGAAAATTAAACAGGGCAACAAACCGAAAACAGTAGAGGATCACGGTTCGATGGTGGATGACGCAATACGTACTACTTTTATTAAAAAAAATAAAAAAGTTTATAATAATGATGCTATCATCATATTCATAACTATGAATTTTCAATTCTTCTCCAAACAAATCATCACAATATATCAAATAGTTTTAAACATTATTTCAATGTTCTTAAGTAATGCTATTATGAAGCATTTTTATTTATCTAATGCAAAATAGAAAGGATACAATTGATTTCCTGTTTATATATTTATCAGCATTACTATATATGAACTGGATCAAAATATATAATCATGTCGTGCCTTAAAAACATGCAGATTTAAATCTTATTCAACAAAAATAAGAGATAAAAAATACACAGTGCTACCACTAACCAGTATAAATTAAAACAGTATATGTTTCTATGATCCGATGAAAGCTTCATTTTTTTCAGAAAAAGAGAAAAATAAATAAAAATTATCAGAAATGAAGCTAACAGTTTTGTAATAGTTCTGGGAAAGTGCAATCTTTATATCGATGAGAGGAAATGGCCAAACCTTCTTGTTGGAGAGCTAGAGATTCAGGTTACAATGGTTTACTCGTATCTTCCGGTGTTAACCTCCACCGCTTTTGAGGTCTTCGACAAAATAGAGAGCTTTGAATGAGGGAAAACTATTAGGTGCGGAGGCCAGATGCAGAGATGCGTCCGGACATTCACTTAAAATTGGACACGTGGAGTGCACTTTGGTTGTGCTTTTTTTGCGCTTTATATGCGTTTTACATGCACTTTAGTGCACTTTAATTGTGATTTGACTGCCCTTTTGTTGCGCTTTTTTACTACGTTTTGACTTTGTTTTACCCGCGTTTTACCTACGTTTTAATTGCTCTTTTGTTGTCCTTTAACTGCTTTTTTGTTGCGCTTTGATTGCTCTTTTGTTGTGTTTTTTACATGCGTTTTACCTGCGCATTGGCTACGCTTTTGGTGTGCTTGACTTAAAGTTCCGTGAACATATTAAATATATAAAATAAAAAATAAATCAAACATGTCCATTCCACATGTCAAATTTTTATTGGATGTTCGAACGTATCTCAACTTTCGGTGTCCGCACCTAATAAATTTTCATGAACGAGTGAGGGTGCTAAGCTAGCGAATATTGCACTCAGGTGACTCTGACGACCTGGGAGAGGAAGGAGAGAGTTGCGAGGTTCTTTTGTTGTAGGGCTTGCGACTTTTAATGTAACATATATTAAAGTGATTACATGATCTCCACCATCGGATGTGCGATCAGCCACTTATAATTGGCGAACTGTGAAGCACACGGTTCTTTGCTACGCAGTCAGTCCGACGGTTATCCGTTTCAACCGGGGCCTTAGCCAGTTTTTTTCAGTTCGTTGCAAACCAATTTTAGTTATAGGACTGGACTTGTTGCCTGATCGGTCCCCGGCTCAACCGTTTAAACCAATCGGTCCGATCTAATTTTTAAAACCTTGATCATAACAAATATCAAGCCAATTAGCTGAGGGTGAAAATGAGCAGAATTTGAGCTTCTATAGATATTACTTCATTTGAATCATTAGGTGTTTTTTCTATTAGGTACATATATCATAACAAATGTTAAGCCAATATCAGTGCACGTAATAGTTTATAAGACCGATATATGTCATCGACATCAAATTTGACTTCTAACATCAGCACTAAAATTTATGCTTTACTTCATGGTCTCTAACCTCACCTCAAACGAGTACAATCAAACAATTAAGCAAACAATCACTTAAAGACATCACCTATGCCGCATGGCTCTTTCAACTTCTATCACATAATTCACTCTATATGAATTATTAAAATTAAACTAAAATGGTTTACGATTTATTATTTACCATTTTTATTTCTTAAACCCCGATTTAGCAATTCCCAATTGGGCATTGTCATAGCTCCAATTTGATAAAATTTAAAAAGGAGCATAATTATAAATTAATTAACAAAAAAGAGTATACTTTTAAAAAAATCTGACCACATGAATGCGACAGAGGTGCTAATTAGATTTTATGAATTTTATATTTATAAAATACATCACGTAGTATTTGTTTATATTTTCTAAAGAAAATATTAATCTATTTGTCAATTTTGTTTATTTTTTAATTTTTTTTTAAAGTACACCACTTTTCTTAATGAATTTATAATTACGCTCGTTTTTATAATGTTACTCTCAATTCCTCTACACGTGTTAGTCCCACATTTATTCACTATTGCACTGTAATTGTAAAAGCAACTCATTACTCATTTTGTGGCCCTAAATTGAAAAAATTATTCTGTGCGAACAACGAATGACATCCAGAGACTAATACAAATGTACCAAATTATTTTTTACTTTGTCACAACTCAGTATTACTTGGTACTCGGTACCAATATTGACACTCAGTACTGAGCATTCTGTGCGTCTAGCGTTCCCACAGAATAATTTCTCCATAAATTGACCATCTAATAAATTGTAAGTGTTTTTTGCAAGAGAAATTATTTTGTGCAGAGTCCTGACGTAAAAAAATAGTTCGGAATGTATATTTATTTATATGGATGATTCTTCTCGTCAGGACTAAAGTACATAATAATTTATTTATTTTGCAAACGGTAGAGTCTCGTATGATTGAACACGAAAAATGATTTTTTTTATAACGAGGAACCGTCCGCTGCCACACCCGACTTCGTTGAGCGCGCTTGACGGTCCGTAAACCCCGGCCGACCTAATGGGCCACCCAAGCCACAAACCCATAGCCGATGCTTTGGAGCCCCCAGTTAAGGGCCGATTGCCGCTCGAGGGAATAGAACTTGGGATAGGGGTCCCAACCGAGCACGCCCACCAACCGAGCTAAACATGGGTGGGTAAAAATGATTTCTTTGAACAGAGATAAATTCAGCTAATAAGTAGTTCCATCCTATCAGACAAATTATGTGCAAAGCAAGCAGGATATGGAAGCCAATCTTCTGCAACATCCGATCTCCTCAAGTATCTTCCTTCTCCACGCCTTCCTCTGCTTCCTTCTCCTCAGCCGCCCCTGCAACAGCTCTAGCAATCGGCAAACGCTCCAAATCGGCATCGGCATTGGTATCGGCGGCGGAAACGCTCCTCCTTCCCCTGAGTCAGAGCCCATCTGTCCGCCCCCTCCCCCTCCTCCGTGTCCACCCCCACCATCGCCGAAACCTCGGCCGCCACCACTTCCACCAAAACCACCTTCTCCGCCACCGGGTGAGCTAACTCCCGGCGACTTCCCCAACCTTCTCCAATACCGATCCTACAAAGTAATCCAACGATTCAAACGAACAATCTACAGCGACCCAATGAAGATCATCAGCACCTGGAACGGCCCCGACCTCTCGAAATACAAAGGCTTTTTCCTCGAAACCCCTCCTCGCTACAAAAACATCACGCCCACCATCGCATCCATTGATTTCAACGGCTTCCGCCTCGGCGCTCCGACCCTCGCCGGCTTCATCGACGGCTTCCCTGATCTTGCTCTGTTCCACGCCAACTCCAACGGCTTCGGCGGTACTCTACCCAACCTCACCAAACTCCCTTACCTCTACGAGCTCGATTTCAGCAATAACAAATTCTCCGGCGAATTCCCAACCGCCGTCCTCCCCCTCTCCAACCTCAGCTTCCTCGACCTTCGCTTCAACCACTTCGCCGGCGTGGTTCCGCCTTCCATCTTCCTCATACAGCTCGGCTTCCTCTTCCTCAACAACAACCTCTTCTCGCAGCCGCTTCCGGCTGACCTTGGCCGCACCGGCGCGGCCTACCTCACATTGGCTAACAATGGCTTCACGGGGGGAATTCCAGCCTCCATCTGCGAAGCCAATGCGACCCTAATCGAAGTCCTTTTCCTCGGCAACCAACTCTCAGGCTGCCTGCCCGCGGAGATCGGCCAGCTGCGAAAGGCGACGGTTTTCGACGCGGGGTTTAATAAGATCACGGGACCCATACCGCCTACTTTGGGCTGCTTGAGAAAAGTGGAGCAGCTTAACTTCGCCGGAAATTTGCTTTATGGCGAAATACCCGACGAGGTTTGCAAACTGGGAGTCGACGGCGGCGGACGGCTTTTGAACCTTTCGCTATCAGATAATTACTTCACTTCCCTGGGGAAGAGTTGCTTGAATTTACTGCAGCGGGGGATCTTGAATATCAAGAAGAACTGCATTCTGGGTTTCGCCGACCAGAGGCCGCCGGCAGAGTGCGCTCTGTTCTTGGCTCGCCGAAATTACTGCCCTTGGCATGACTACGTTCCCTGTTCTAACGAGTGGAAGAATTCGGCGTTGGGCGGCGGAAATCCGGCGAGCTCGAGTGGTTATTCTTCTTACTCGACTTTGGGGAAGAATTAAAAAATGATCACCGACAAGTAATTGAAATAATTAAGGAAGAAAACCAATGGAAAAGCCAAATCTAGATCCATGGACAGATACATTGCTGATTGGTTCTTCATCTTTCGCGTGACTCTCTGTCGTATTGTATTGATTCCCCCCACTGGACTAGACATTGTTGCAACTGGCAGCTATCGTTTGTTGTTATTCAGTAAATCTTTGAACATAATAATAAGGAAGATTTACATAAATACCATTTTATTTTATGTTATTTACATACCTAATACTTAAAACATTATTATTGCATGTCTATCATTCATATATAATTTTAATATCAAATATATCATTCCTATAATTTTTTTATATCATTTATATCATCTTATAAATTTTAATATTTCATTCCATGCACTCAAATTTGTTCAATGGGTGGTAAGCATGTAATATTAATATTTAGGATGTTAGACATGTAAATAACATGGAATAAAGTGGTATGTATGTAAATCCCCCTAATAATAATTAGAATAAAAGCATGATGATGGTTAAGGTTTTGTTTGGCCTTTTTTTACTGTTTTCTTAAAATAATTTTTTGATATAAATTTTTTTTATTAGGAAATAGTAATAAAAGTATAAAATTATCCCAACTAATTAGCATTTATGCACCTTTTTTTAAATTATACTCTTTTTGCTTAATTATTTTGTATTCAGTCACCTTTTTAATATTTTGATGGTTTATTTTGTTAGTTTAGTTAATAAAATAATTTTAAGTTAAATTGAGAAAATTAATTTATAAATAAAAATGAATAAAATTTAGCTTTCATTTTGGATGAACTGAAATATAATTAATTTTTCAAATATATTTAATCATCTTTAACTCAAATATATAATTTTCAAATTTCTTTTGGAGAGCCTACATATTTTTTAGACATTTTATTAATGATATTTTCATCACTTATTTTTATTTATGATTTGAAAAAAATAATATAACTCAATTTATGAATTGTTCAAATTTACAAAAGGAGAAAAAAAAAACTAAGGGCTTGTTTGGAACGGCTTTCTTACTATTTTTTTAAATAATTTTCTAGTACAAAAATTTTTTGAACTAAAAATTTTATATCAAAAAGCTGTTTTGAAAAGCAATAAGAAAGCAGTCCCAAATAAAACCAAAATCAATAACAAAAAATAAAACAAAGTCAAAATTACAATCAAAGTTTGAAATGATACTTTAACAACCTAACAATATAATAAATAAGTTCGATTTGATTTAATTTGAATTTTCAATTTTATTTAATAATGTACACCCTTATATACTAGGACAAAAATTTGAAGAGGACTTGGTTGTTCAATAATTGAGCAATTTTCTTATCAAGTTGATATGTCCTATCTCTCTCTTTATGTTAGTGACTTATTTGGGAGTATTGGGTTTTAATTTAAGCCCCATTTTCATGCATAAATCATTCTGATGATGATGTTATACAATTTTGATGTTGAGTTTATTAACTTTTTAGATATCTAAGCATGATGAAATATTAGAATTCCCCTTAATTGTACTAATTTAAAATAATTTTATAATCAAAATACATAAACAAATTTTTCTCTACATCTCATGTTAATTTTACGGACCTCATGTAGTGGAATAAAGAGTTCATGTTGTCGTTGTTATTATTGTTGATCTTATGTTGTATTGCTGACTATCAACCTTTATTACTTCCTATTTCAAACCGTCTTGTCTGTTGGCTAGTCTTTTATCTTTTCAATTTCTTAAATTCACCATCTAGAATATGATTACGTATTGGATTAGAGGATCTATTATACCCAAAACCTATCTCAAAAATTTGGGAAGGATGTGTGCTAGATTTCTTTAATTTGAAGACAGTGAAGCAAAGAAGCTACACCTTATCTCTTGGCGCAACACCTACAAACCGAAGAATATTGGTTGCCTTGGAATCTCAGATCTTCATGCCATTCAACATGCCCAGTACTGCTCTCTAATTATCAGGCTTTACAATTCCCACTCCCTTCTTTTCTCTTGATTAAACACTAAATATTGCTCCCAATAGAAGCCAATCCGTTTTAAAACTTCAAAGCTATGGAATGGTATTAGAAATGTGGCTGATTGTATTTCTCCCAACCTCAACTTCCTTATTTCTCCTAACAACAAGATTGCCTTTTTATTGGATCAATAGCTTAAGTGCACTTCAGTTAATGCTGTTTATTACTACAACTCCCCTCCCTCTCATATCTCTTTCATGGCTAAATTTTCTGATTTTATCATTGTTGGATGGAGCTTTAAGATCTGTCTTAAGTTTCATTCCAATTCTCAATGATCATGCTAGCACTGCATCTTGGAAAGATAAGAAGAAACAATGTTCTGCTACCTTCATTAACGATTTCCTTAGAGAGGAGTGTCTACTCAATTGGCCAAAACTCATCTGGCATAAGCACCATTAGTTGAAATATTCGGTTTTTACCTGGCTTGCTATTAAAAAAGGTCTCAAAATCACAGATGAATTGCTTAAAAGGAAAATTTCAATAGATCCAAAACACCCTCTCTGCTTTGACAGCCTAGAAACTGCAACTCATCTTCTATTTGAGTGTGAGTATTCATTTGCTGTCTTGGAAAAGTTCATTCCTGATTTAGTCAATTTTTTTATGAGACTGAATATTTCCCAGATTCTAGACTTTGTTGAGGAAAGGATTTATATAGTGAATGATAAAATATATATATATATATATATTATTTTTTGATTGTTTGATGTTTGACTTATTTCTTATGGAGAGAAAAAGGAAAGGCATTATAGTTCCAATTTTAGAAGCATTGCTACTCTATGCTCTCTTATTTCAGAACAATTATTAGATCCGGTGATCGGACGTAGAGCTACGTACGGTTACCATTGAGTTACCCGGTATTTGCTCGGTATTGCTTGGTATTGTTTGGCAATAACGAGAAATACCGCTCTGTGAAGACCAATACCGAGCAATACCGAGTAATACCGAGCGAAAAACTCGGTATTGCTCGGTGTTGCTCGGTATTACTCGGTATTGCTCGGTATTTGTCTTCACATAATGGTATTTCTCGTTTTTGCCGAGTAAAATAGACAAATACGTGGTTTTGTGCCTCCTACGTGGCATGATCTAGTGCCGGCCGAACGTAGCTCTACGTCCTTTCACCGGATCAAATAAAAGTTCCTTATTTCATGAGCGGCTGATCGAAAGCTTTCTACCTTGAAGTATGGGGATGATAGAAGAGCTATTTACTACCTTTAGGTAGTTTTTTTTTCGTTGGATTTTGTATGACATCTATATTACGTATTTGATTTTTTGGCATTTATGCTTCTTCTTTTTTTTTCGGAGGTGGTTCTTTCTGAAATTTTGGTTTGGGTATTTTGCTCCCTCACACTATTTGGCTGGAATTATTTTGGGTTGCCTAACTTGTGCTTATTCTGATGAGGTTCATCATTTTGGTGGGATTTTTTTGTGCCTTCGACAATGATGAGCATCCTAACATTCTAAATCCGCACTCCTTTTTATTTCTGATTCTAAAATTTAATCTCTAAGTCCAGGCTTTTAAGGCATTCAAGAAAACCAGTTCAGCTCTAGATTTTTAGTTGTTTTTTTCCTGCTAGTTACTTTGTCCTGACAATTTTTCCTTTTTCTTTCGTAGCTCAATTCTAATATTTTATTTGGATTTTTTTTGGATGGCGAGCTTGCTCGCTTTTTTATTAGCTGCTCGTCTACATTGTTCACATTCAATCTAGCAGTAACTAGCAAACACTTTGTCATTACCTATAGACATCATGAGCTCTCCTACTAGCTACGAGCTCATCATTGTCATCATCAATACCACATGACAAATATTTCATGAGCCCACTCAAATAAAATAAAACTCAATATACAATACACTTACAATATAATATTCAAAATTTTAATTACATAATTATAAAAATTATTTCTTACTTTCTTATATTAAATTATTATTTTTATTTTTCTTATAATTTTTCATTCTTTTCATCATTTTATTATAATAATCATTTAAATCATAATTATTTTCTCTTTCAAAATAAATGACCTAACTCATAAACCAATTTGAAGTCATAAAATAAAATATAAACTCAAACTCATTTAACCAATCAAGCTCAAGCTTATGTTAGAACTGACTCAAGCTCAGCTCAACTCGTTTACATCATTAGTCGCATATATCACTTTCTATCTTCACATAAGATCTTAGTCCTAATCATGTTCAAACTTATTAACTAGTCGATGAAAAGTTTATGACATACAAGCACAGATACATGCATGAACTCGGAATGATTTGTCTCGCTTATAATTATACGTTGATAAATTAGATTAACATAATGTTAAATCCTATTTATGAAGATGTTGGATATAAGATTAGGCATAAAAAAATAAAAAATCCACATGCCTGATTACCCAAGTAGAGGTCTGTACTGTTATGAAGACAGACTTCCCGGTAAGATGCACCTTTACCACAATCTGTTATTTGTGATGCTTTGATTCATTAGAACTGTATTAGAAGCAGATGGTATGGTTCATAAACTTTTTAGGTTGGATAAATGAGACTATTGCAGAATTACTACCAGCATAGGCTTATGTTTAGTATATTACAGATATCGGACATAGCTTACTGTCCAGAGGAGAATCAGGTGTAGTTACGTCGTCCACTATTGAGCTCAGTACCGAGCGGCAGTACTAAGTAGGGGGTGACGTAGCATATTTTCATTAGGCTCTGAACGGCATTCGGTGTCCGCACATTATAATTCCCCATTTTGAATAGGATAACATATCATCAACATGCAAAATTTAGTCTATTATCTCTTTGCTTATAGCAGCCGTAGGAAATAAGAAAAAACAGAGCTACAATCAGCAACTGCAATAAATCCAAACATTTCAATCCGATAATAAATTTTGATTCAGATTTGACTCAATTCAGACAACTTAAACTTCAACAAAATTTAAGTGTATGGTGCTACAAAATATTAAGATAAAGCTTATGTTAAATGGTAGAAATATGAAGGGTGGTCAGAAAGACTTAGTGAGCTCCTCCCTGGATTTTGGCTTCACCTATCCCGTTTGCGCAGCCCCATGCGAGATTTTGAATACCTAAATACAGTTTAGTTATAAACACAATCGTATCCACAAGGCTAAAGGCTCTATTGAAATTTAAAACTTTTTATGGCTGATAAGAAGGATACTCTATGCGCAGGCGCTCCCCAAAAGATGAGAATAAAGAGCTTCCCTGCAGGCTGTTGAGGGCTTCAGTTGAGCAAGCAATGTCCTGCATTTACAAGATTATATATCAAATGAGAGGAATATAAGCATATATTTAAATATTAATTAAGTTCAATGTATTCTTAATAATGAAAGAACTCTGTCGTCTTTTTTATCCAGTATGTCGAACAAATAGGTGTTAAAAAGCAGATTTAGGCTTCGTTTTGGACAACTTTCGTACTGTTTTCTAAAACGATTTTCTAGTATAAATTTTTTAATTCAAGAAATTTTTGTTCTAAAAAGTTGTTTTAGAAATCAATCAAAAAGCTGTCCCAAACAAAGCCTTAATCATTGATGATATGTATCCTCGAGTATGATAAAAGTCGTCTTGTGAAGTTACAAATTCAATCAGCAAAAAGTTTCCACTACAAATTAAAAGGAACTAGAGCAAAATATTCAACCATATCCAGAAAGGTATTCTATCTGGGGCTTAGTCAACTATATAAATTGTCGGTACGGTCGGAAATCTAAAAATTAAGGGCAAAAAGAACCCGTGTTGCCTAGGTTGGAGCTAATATCAATATACCATCATTGGAATACCAAAAAGAACTGCTAAGAGGGCTTAACATAAACATCCAGATTTTCCCAAAGCAAGAAACCCCAGCCTCATTGCCAATTTCTAAGAAGCATTTTTCCAAGTAGGCTTGCAAGTATATCCAAATACAAAGTCAGAGATAGTCGGGATGCCTAAACCATCATATTTCAATGGCTTGCAAGTATTTTTTCATGAAACCAAGGATAATTTCTTGGCATTAATGTTTCTATGGTATAAAAAACTAGAAGAAATTTTGTTGAGATACTTGATGCAGGTTTTGGGTATGACACTAAAATTCAATATGATAAACCTAAGAAATTGAAGTATTCCTGCAAAAGAAAGAGCCCCAGCTCTCCAACCACAAGCAGCAAAGAGGCCTGCCTTCTTCATCAATGGCTGCATATCAGAAAGTAAGACCCTTCTAGGAGCTATGAGAATTCCTAGGTAGGTAAGAATCGAGGTGTCATTGGAGAGGTTCAGAATGTCACATAGCAGGTATTGGTTGAGAGTGTTTTTGGAAAATATAATGGAGCTCTTGGAGGAGTTAATGGTAAAGCCAAATGAACATTTAAAAAGATGGAGCATTTCTCTAAGAAAGATAATTTTGTTATGATCATCCAACCTGAAGATTAGTAGGTCGTCTGCATAAAATAATGGGAGACTTATTTAAGCCCCATGTTGATCCCAAAGAACCCTCTATCCTGGAGGTACATCTTTCAAAAACATTAGAGGTACCATCCACAAAAATACCAAAAAAAAGGTAAGGGGATAACGAACATCCCTATCTCAAGCTAGGCGATAATGAGAAAAAAGCCTTCAAGAAACCCATTTATGCCCAATGATGTCCCAAGTGGAGGTGTAGAAGGCAAAAGTAACACCATCAAACCCAGGGGTAAAATTCTGCTCAAAAGAGAAGACCACCTTTTTAATTTTAGTTATAAAAATAGAGGCAATAAGAGAAGATATAAGGTACTTTATCACCGAGAGGAGGTAGAAGGGCATTAGTTGTGCGCCTTGTGGCCATTGGATTGTTTAAATCTCGAAATAAGAAAGGAACATTGATAAGTAGCGAGCTCTTTCAGAAAAGTATGATTTCTCCTCCCTTTGATCTTCCAATCAAGAAAAATTAAGTCATATTCTCCATTTTTCAGCCCTTCAATTTTCGGCCTCTAAACAATCCAATCAACCCAGGAATAGTAGGAAGAAGTGAGTGCCACATCCACCTGTTTGGCCTGAATAATGAAATCAGCATTCATTGGATCACTAAGAAGATTGTAATAAGCATGCCTGTTTTCTAAATCTTTTGTTCTGGGATATCATTTCCTACTTACTGAAGTGTACTTTAGAAATTTGTGCTTGTGAAGAAAGGAGCTTATAAGATCCTTGTTGAAGCAAAAAGAAGATAATATAAATGACATCCCAGAACTCAGGAAGCCTACACCAATAATTTTAAGAAGTAACCCATGTTTGGAACCGTTGGTTAAAGTTGGATTGAGGGATGAGAGAAGAATGATCTGAACATCTGGGAGGACTTTCAACATTATACTAAGAAGTAGGAAACCAATTCAGTCATATCTCATTTACTAAAACTATGTTCAATTTGATGAGGATAGGAGCTTCACTTTTATTGTTAAATCATGAGAATTTCAGTCCAACAAAACGGGTTCTACTGACAACTACCGAACTGGGTTAGATGTCATCTTTATTTGCGATTCAAAAAGGAAATTCATCAATTTAAAGGCACTGGGAACAGATATATACTCATAAGACCAAATTAAGATCAAAATGTTAGCCTTTATGAAATTGTCTTTTTAAGCAAAATAAGGAGGATGACATCAACCAAGTAAGCGTTAAGATGCTGATCACATATGAAGGACAGCCAAAAGGTCATATTAGCGTTAACATATTTATTCAGATTATAAACCCTAAAACAACTTTTCCGGTGAAGACAGTTTCAACTTTCAAGTAATTGCAAGTGGTAAATTACCTGAAAGTCGACAAATGCAACAGAAACCCCTTTCTTGTGTTGCAACATCAACTTTAAAAATCCTGGGTATCTAACACGACAGAAGCAAAGATTATCAGAACTCCCAGAACTGAAATTAGATCAAAAACATTTGCACAAAACATAAAATGATAAATATTAAGTTTCTCTGACTTGGAAAACATTCGAGTAAGCTCTTTTTCAGAACAAGCTGGACCAAGATTAGCCACAAAAAGTGTTGGGCAAGGAGGATTGTTTTGAGGAGGAGGATTTCTTAATGCAGTCTGCAACAGCAAAAAGGCATAATTAAAGCATTAACAGTGGAAACATGGGCTAGCATGACACAGCGGAATAAAAACTTACAGAACCTTCATGAAAGCTGAATTTGAAACAAGAAAAAGTTACGCATTTGGGAAAGCAAGTTTCTAGGGCAAAGGTGTGTGTGCTGTGCTATAACATATATCATTCATCTATGATGCACAGACACGGACACGGCGACATGGACACGACATGACACGGACACGAGACACGGTATTATAATTTTTTATATTTAAAAAATAGTGTATAAAAATTAAATAATTTTAAAATAATAAGTCATTTAACTAGAATTTGTGCTTAAAATGATTAGTATTAGGATATCGAGAGTCAAGCGTCGATGACGTTTATCAGTCACCGAGAGAGGAGATGAAAATATCTTCACTGCCAAAAAGAAATGAAAAAGAGAATATTCGATGATTGGGTATTAAGTGCGGATGTTGATTTGATATTGTGGATAGGAAATTAGAAATTTAGTTTAAATCCCACCAAATACAAGAAATTATAATTAAAAAATTCGTAAAATATTCAAGATACGTGTGTCCAATTTGTACTTAATATTTTTTAATCGGACACGTTTTCGACGTGTCTGACACGTGTCTGAGGAGTGTTGGGCGAGTGTCGTGTCGGATACGGTGTCAGACATTGCACGACTCTTTGAGGAGAAGTGTCAGTGCATCATAGTCATTCATTCATCAAAGAGGAAAGCACGTAGAAATCAGCAAGAAGTATATTCTTGAACTGAATAATGGGAAACCAAAGAAGAAATAGTATGAAACCATGAATCATAATAGTAGACAGAAACATCTTGATGTAGGCAAAGAGGGGTCAAAATATTTTGGGTTTTAATTTTGGTGAGTTTGTTTTTCCTCTACTAAAAAGCATCTCATAAATGCTTAGCCACTACTTATTCAGCTCATAAATCTGAAATTAATTGAGATTCATTCCACCCCACCCCCGCTCTCTATATGGCCCTTTGATTTCCTCCCCCTGGTTCCTTTTCCCTTCCATGTGTCTCTTCGGTTTTCCCCTCTTGGTTCTTCTTCCCGTGGACTGTTCTGGTCCCCCTGGTTGTTGGTTATGTTTTCCTGTGCTACCCCTTTGGTTCCTCCCCTGGGTGTCTGTCTCGTGACTGCTTTTCTCGGTTATCTGTGTGGCATTTTCAGGTGTTGTTCTGGAATGATTTCTGGCCTTTTAGTTCCCCTTACCTAATTGGTTCGGTTGGAGGTTGAATGGTTGTTTGGCTGCCCCCCTACGGGTTTCCTTGAAAAGGCTTGCGAGCTTGTTCCATCTCTTCTATTCTTTTTCTAGGAAAGCTTGCGAGCTTGTCCTCTCTTTCGTCTCAGCTTCTTACCTTTTTCTTCTCTCTGCAAGTGACCACCCCAATTGTATCCTTCTTCTTAATCAAGGAACGCAATTTAGGTGTTTTTATTTTAATTGTGTAAGCATCGTTTGTAAGCGTCATTTTTTATGATATAAAGTTGTATTTTGTTTTCTTTTGTGTAATTTTCTATTTCCTAAGAAGTGTGATTTTTGCTTGCAAAAATTAGGGGTTTTCCTAATTTTTTTTGCTTTCATCACATCTGCAGATAATGCAAAAAATTTAATGAAAAAAAGCGAAGGAAGACAAGTCAATGGAATGAAGATGAGATTGTATAATACTTTCCAATAAAGAAATTGTTATTCATGGACTATTAAACAAAAAATTAGGTCCATTACGCATTCAAGAACATAAATTTGAGGTATATGCATATACATTATACCGTATAACTCAGCTAATAGTTATCTAAGAATACATTCTTGCATCTGTAGAAGAAGACGCATCCAAATTCAGATAGAATCTATATCAGGTACTTCATCTAATGCTCTGAAGCTGTGTATTTGATACCTAGAACTAAACAAACTGGTTTGCAAAGTGAATTCCACGCCATTATGTTTCAAATGTTAAATACGTGGAAAAGATAAAGTAAATTGATATGTAGTTGATTGACATATCATTCCAAACTATAGGAAGGACCGCAATAGATTGGCCAAATAAAAAACGAATATACGGATAAGCAAAAGTAAATCATAAATGTTTATGAGGTTACATGCAGCAACGAAAGCACTCAAAGTCAATGGAATTATATAACAATAACAAGTTAGTAATAGGAATATGAATAACAAGAAAAAGCCCACCGGTTTCTTCGGGTCCACTTCATGAGCCTCGTCATGGTCAAAGCTTACATAACTGCAAGAAATGAAAAAAGCTAACTAAAGCTCAAACGGCTTATACTCATAAAAAAATAGCTGAAGCAAAATGATAAAGTTCATGGACATCTAACTATATTCCCTGAATGACAATCAATTGTATTTTAAACTTGAACAATCTACAATATTGCATATTTAACTAAAAGAAATTTCAAAAAAAGAAAAAGCTAAGCATTAAGTAGTGTGCCTTAACCTTTGTGTAGAAGGATAATCATATGTGCTGTAAGCAGAATTACCCATTCCAGGCATGTGTATATTGCTCCCAACGCCTGCTTGTGCGCAAAGTGTCCAAACATGTGCAACGTGAGCTTGATGAGTGTTACATGTGATTAATAATTTTTAATCATCGGAGATAAATAGAAAATAAGAGCAGACAACCCTAGAAAACTAACAGAGAAAAGTTGCAATCTAAGCTTCTTGAAAACAAAAACAGGAACTTGTTAATTGTTATTATAATTTACAGTTCTCTTTAAATGATATGGAATTGCAAATAGTATCAATATACGTTAGATTTCAAATCACCTAAGTGCACTCAAGAACACTGACAGAACTTAAAATTCACCTGAATATGCAACAGCTTCTCAAACATTTTTTATTCCTAGAAGATTGCTGCAGGTAATCCATCAGCTAATCTAAGTTACTAATTCACTATATTGATAAGATCAAAAGCATATAGAAAACTTGTATAGAGCGGAGCAAAATCATTAACTCATTCGGGAGTAACTGAATATGCTCAATGAAGACTAACTTGCAAAAAATAACCTTCACAACCAACCACATCCCATGCAAAGCTGGTTATGCAAACTTTGAAAACTTCAGAAGCATTTCTGCTCACCCGTGCAGAAAGCTGTATAGAATCATATTCTAGCACAGTAACCAATGTGCTGACAGATGCTATGAACCATTCATGCACAAGGTGATAGGAATATGATGACAACAGTGCCAAGATTTGAAATGATTAGCAAAGAATAAATTTAATTCCTGAGCAAAATTTCACCAGCCATCCACAGCCCAATAACCTAAAAGCTAAATTTTGCAAATAAGGAATCATGAACTTTATAGTTTCTTAGCAAGGGCTCAACACTACCTCTTACCTCCCTAAAACAAATCAAAAGCCTACATTTTGTAATGAAGAACTATAATTCCAAGCATTTTCCTAACAAGGACTAGGTATTAAAATAATCCTAGGAGTAACTTGAAATAATAATGTGTCCAAAAGTTTGGGCATGGACGTTGGTATAACTGCAGATTTTTTGTGATGGATGAATAAGAACCACTTTTCTGAAGCAAGGCATAAGAATCCAGAAAAGAACATCAGAGCACTTACGGATGGCAAATACAAACCTTTTCTTGGGCGTTTAGCAGATTTGGAATTGGATCTTGCAAGCTCAATGTAAAGAGTTGACTCATTCTCAAGGTCAAAAACGAAGTCCTGCGAGACAAAAGCAAAATATCATTAATTAAAAATAAAACAAAACATAAATTTAGTAGCAGGCAAGATGATGGTCGATTAGGAGCATGTAAGAGTGAAAAGCAGCCAATTGGTAGGCTTTCATTTTGAAAGTTAGAATTTTGTCAAAGTCAACTATTATTTTGGGCCAATAAAGTTACAAATGGTCCCTCAACTATTAATAAGGTCCCAATTTAATTCCAAAATTTACACTGCTCCAATTTAGTCCCTCGACTGTATCCAATTTGGTCAAAGGTCAAAAATAATAGCACATGTTAACACCAAAGTTAAATGTGAGTATATTTTAGATAGGGAAGTGCATGTGAGATTACATTTTTTTGTCATTTAATGAATAATGATAAATATAAAAACTTTAATGACAATAAACCTAATAAATAATAAAAGCAAGTAATTAGTAAAAGAAATGTTTGTAATGAGTACAATGCTACTAAGTGATTATAACACCAAACTATATTGGTAATTATTTTTTTCCCTTGAGAATTTAACTAACTATTATATTTTCCCTCAAATTTTAAAAAATAATTAAATATCTTCCTTAAGTTATATTTGTATAGTAAGCTTCTACTAATTTAAGTAGAATTTGCATTCCAATTATTGGTTTTAATAATAAATAAGTTAAGAAAAAAGAAATTATGAATTTTTTACCGAAATACCCTCCTCAATTAGCCAATCCCACGTAGTGAGATAAAGGCTTGATGTTGTTGTTATTGTAACGTCCTCAATGAAGTAATGGGAGAGGAGTAGCACTTTCTATCAATTTGGATAGTATTATCAACGGATGGATCAAATTAGATTACTTTTCACTAATTGAATTGTGACAGTGTAAAACCCTCGTACTAAGTTGAGCACTAACTAATATTCAGGGGAGGCTTTTTCTCATTTTGGGCCTGTTACTGGGCATCCAATGGTTAAAAGCAGACCACTGGTCGAGTCAGATTTGAAAATGGAACTTCAATTAACCGCAACCAAATATATATGCCTAATTTGGAGGTTATGGGTTGAAATCATGCACCTCTAAAATGGGATAATACTTTGTACATCAACCTACCCCAAACTCCCCATTGACTGAAATCCCCATGAAGTAAGTGTGCCTTTTAATGGATATTATAGATTGACATCAAGAAAAAAAGGTATTATTTATTAGATATATGTCTAAGCTTTTCTCATTGTATTTAGTGTATCTTTTTGGTGGAACTCAAACACCAGATATCTAACATCGCTTTGGGCCAATTACCACCCAGACTAAGAACTGGATTCCATTTGTACTTAATATAGCTCATATCCAGTTACAGCAAAGCTACAAACCCCTCCCCAAGCACCAAGTCGGAATCCATCTTTGATAATGTCAACATGGTAAAATTGAGTAGCTGTCACAACATTTCACAACATAAAAAAAAACAAAAAAACAAAAAAAATTCTTTTTTCAAATTGTGTGAATTAAAGTTCCAACAAAGGCAAACAAAAGCGAAGAGAAACATCAATATACATATAAATCAATGTTGTATAATTTCTTACATTCAAAGCATGCATTGCAGCAACTGCAGATTGTTGGTCAGCAAAGACAGCAAATGCATATGGCTGTAAACCAAACAAAGATGAGAATTAGCTAGACAGCAGTAACCATCAAAATACAAAATTACATCATCAAGGATTAAAATAGAATTCTCTGTGAATTAAACACCGCATCGGAATCCAAAATAATATATCTATGCACACATCTTTGACATTAGACTAACATTACTTCTTTTTTCATCTAAGTTGGCTGTCATATTGTAGATGAATTGAAAAAATTGAAGTACAAAAATGAGGAATTCCTTAGGTTTTAGGTCCAATTAAATTGCTAAGGAAACAACAAAAATGAGGAACACCTTTATTGCTTTACTTATTTGGTTTGCAGTAAACAGCCGCCAAGAATTATTTTTTGCACTAGCAACAAGATACCTTTGCCGTATTTGAATCAGTGAAAACAGCAAGCCTATAAGCTCGTTGTCAGAGCACGAAGCCATAAGGCCAACCATAGGACAAAGGAGAAGAAGAAAGGAAAAAATTTTGGGAGATATGGATGGATTTTTACTGCAAGAATCCAGCCTTTAAATAGGAAATTACAGTAGAAATTTAATTTAAATTCAATTTTATCTTTCCTAGACTACCTCAACAATAGAAAGAAACAAATTCTTGTACAAACTCCATAAAATAAGCATTCCTATCTTAACATTTGATTTGAAATTACAAACTTTTCCTAAACAAATTAAAATAAAATTCATCCTAATCTTGTTGTCATCTAATGGTTCAGATTTTGTGCCTTGCAATCGATCACCAAACCTATGTTCATCGAACCATCTTCACCCATGAACTCATGAAAACTGGATCTCCAATCTCAACAACGTGATCTGAGAATCACCGCCATAGGCAATCTCCATCAAGAGATCGAACTGTCAAAGTTTTGAAGATCACAATCCTACTGATTTCTTCATGATCTGATGGCCAAATTACAATCATGAATGATCTATGTCATCTACTATATATGATTCCTAGATAACACCCTTATCCTTGAATTTTAATTTGAATTACAAACTTGTCCAACAACAACAACAAAAACAACAACAACAACATCAAGCCTTTGTCCCACTATTCTAAAAAAAAAAAGAAAAAAAAAAAGGGCTTTGTCCCACTATATGGGGTCGGCTACATGAATCCTTTTTCACCCTACAAACTTGTCCAAAACAAATTAAAATAAAATTCATCCTAATCTTGTTGTCGTCTAGATCATCATCTAACGGTTCAGATTTTGTGCATCACAAACGATCAACATCCTATGTTCGTTGATCCATCTTCACCCATGAACTCATGATAACTAGATCTCAAATCTCAATAATGTGATATGAGAATCACCACCATTGGAAATCTCCATCAAAAGATAAAACTGTCAAAATTTTAAAGATCACATCCGATTGATTTCTTCATGATCTGATACCCAAATTACAATCATGCCCAAATTACAATCATGAATGATCTATTCATCTACTATATACGATTCCTAGATAGCACCCTTGTAGGAGAAATTCATTGTTGTAAAATTATAACCTCGGATGAAGGAAAGTTGCCTGCACAGCCTACTTCGTGTATAACTTTGCAACACTAGATTTTCCAATGTGATAAGTTTTCTTCTGACCATACCATATAGCAGTTAACTTCTCCTACAAGAGAATGTTCAACTCCAATGGTACCACGTGCTCCCTTAATGTATCTATAGAAAATACTTCTATAGGCTCTCAAACTTCAACATTTTTACATTCACCACTAATTACATCATCAACCATATGGTGGCAGCTCAATTTGGCAGGCATTGTCTCCGGTTTTCTTGAAAACATGAAGTGGCTCATCCTAGATTGGCTTCAAATTCTAGTTTTCCACCCTACGGTCAAATCTTGTCCAAAAGCAACCAAATAAGACGACAACTTGGAAGTTGGCTTTGACACGATGCTGAATGTGCCTTTCCTTGTAATTTGTTAAGTTATTTGCAATTTTTTCTCCATCAACATGTGGATTTTTTTTAATTCCGTCAAAGAATTTTGGTTCTCTTTCTTTGACGACTTTAATCCCACTATTAATAATAGGGGTGATAGAGAACTGGAGGTCAAATGAGTTTTGAGGCAATAACCCAAACAGACCTCAACCGAAGACTTCATAATTAAGGAGCGTACAATTTCAAACTATCTATAAGGTAGGCTATCATCCTTAGTCTTTGGATGATTAATGTTGCAATCCCGTAAGAGATGCACTCATGCACCATTATCCTGTTCACACATCTCTATGGCCATCTATCTATGGATAAAATGCAATGCACCTCTTCAAAATTGTGTTCATCTGAAAACAGTCAAGTAATCAGATACCTCTATCAAACACAACAGAGTTACACAGTCTAAAGTGTGCCCCCATATACTAAAAGAATAATATGTCAGTACCTTATTTGAGATTGTTTTCCTATACGTATTAAAATAATCATCTTTGAAAAACCACCAATGCCCTTAAGAGATTGTGGCCCTTTTTAGTCCTATACAATTCTCGCATGAATTTATGGAAAAGCTTTCTTATAGGAGGCTTGGCATAAGCAAAAGCATACAGAATTCGAGTTTTCAGTTTAAAGACTTGAAATACTATGCCGTATGCACCCTTTAACTAACTTACCAACATCTTCTCACATTTTGGGCCAATGAATGTAGCATTATAAATTTTGCAATGCTTTGCCTCCTTTAAAGTATCGAGTGAACGTGCCTTCCGAATCCAACATACCCAGTCTACACATTAGGATTGCATATTGTAAAAGAAGTCATCCTACCAAGTAAACTTCAAAGGAGATGCCTTTCCCCAAGTTTTCCAGAACCTCTTTGAAGAAAGAAATGTTTTTGTGATGCTATTTGTACTCCTTTTGTTTTAAAAAAATTATAAAATATTTAAGATACGCGTGTCGGACACGCGTGTCCAATTTATTTTTAATATTTTTTTTAATCGGACACGTTTTCGGCGTGTCCGACACGTGTCGGAGGAGTGTCGGACGAGTGTCGTGTCGGACACGGTGTCGGACACTGCACGCCTCTTTGAGGAGAAGTGTCGGTGCATCATAGGTTGTTAGGCCAGTTCAAATTTACAAGAGGAGGATTGGTGGGATCCGCCTCCTTTAATGCTGCCGCCCATTTGGAGCAATGGGGAGGAGTTTTGAGAGGAAAATTTTGAATGTGAGATGTTTGAAATTACGAAATGAATTGTATTAGTAAGGGGGCTGGTTGGAGGGAGTTTTCTCATGCTTAAATTTTTGTGTTCTCTTGAGTTCTTGGGTGTTTGGGCTCTAGATTGCTTTTCTAGATATTTAGGAGAGAACAATCCTCCTCTCGAATTGAGGATCACTTATATCTTGCTTTGTCTTTGTTTGGCTTGATTTTATCATTGCAATCCATCGTTTC